TTTGAGTTTTGTTCCACATTGTTCTCCCTCTCTATCCAGGATCTCCTACATACATTCCCTTCCAAGTGGTTGACAATAGTAGCCAGGAACCATCTAGTTCTCCTGGTCTCATAGTCATATAGGATGCAGATCAGAAGGTGTACCAGTCTCTAGGACTAATTGTTTCCATGGATTTTTGGTTTTCTTCATTCTTCTTTCATCTGCATGAGGAGAGATCCATTGTTGCATCTAGATGGCAGCTTGAAAGCTTTTAAGATTCCAGTCACTACTCGCCAAAGTAAGGGGTGGAACAATGTTTTGTATAGTATGTTATGCCAATTGAGCTTGATGTCCTTTGTGACTATGGTCCCAAGCCCACATTTTCAACTAGTCGGTCCCTCTGGGTAGCTGATTGTGACCAAGCAGTGACTACAACCTTGCCCCTTGTCAGCTCCACTATACACCTGGGAATTCAGATCATACACATAAACTTATAGGACCATTTTCTGCCAACCCTATACATATTCTTGGGTATACTCCCTGCTTCATAGACATACCTAATAGTTCAGCCTGTCCACCCATCTATCAATGCATATAACGATGTTTGCCTTCACTGACAAGGCAGTATTATATGTGCAAAAGGGTTCATCTTTGTTGTCTGTACCTCCCACATACCACTCTATGTCTTTCTCTTCCTCAATGCTACCATATTGATCACTCACATTTGGTACATTGCCCTTCTCTTCACCCAAATCAATACTTATCTTTATCTATCTAACAGTGTTCCCTCCCTTCCCCCTCCCACCCCTGGTAACCAACAAAGAAAATTTCCTTCCATAGATAAACATTTCCTTGACTTTTACAATAATGGAATAATATATTTTTTGTCCTTTTGTGATTGACTTATTTCACTCAGCTTAATGTCCTCCAAGTTCATCCACATTATGCGGTGTTTTGCAGATTCTATATTATTCTTTAGTGTTGCATAGTATTCCATTGTGTGTATGTAGCATAGTTTGGTTATCCATTCCTCAATTGATGGACACCTAGGTTGTTTTCATCTTTTGGCTATTCTAAATAGTACAGCAATGAACATGGGTGAGCATATGCTGTTCTTGTCATGGCTCTCACTTCTTTAGGATACATACCTAGTAATGGAATAGCTGGGTCAAATAGTATTCCTACCTCCAACTTTTGAAGGAATCACCATACTGCTTTCCACAGTGGTTCTACCATTTTACAGTCCCACCAGAAGTGTATGAGAGTCCCAATCTATCCACATCCTTGCCAGAATTTGTTATTTTCTGTCTTGTTGAACTTTGCTACTAGTGCTGGAGCAAGATGGTATCTCATTTTTGTTTTGATTTGAATCTCTGTAATAGCTAATGATCGTGAGCATTTCTTCACATGTTTGTTGGCCGCTTGAATATCTGCCTTGGTGAAGTGTCAATTTGTGTCTTCTGCCCATTTTTTTTTTTTTTTATT